CCAGAGAGCCCTCACCAGAACAAGACCATGCTGGCACCTCAATCTGAAACTTCTAGCCTCCAGAATGGTGAGAAATAAATTTCAGCTGTTTAAGCCATCCAGTCCATGATATTTTGTTACAGTAGCCTGAGCTAAGACACATACTCCAGATTTGGTTCACATTTGGTAAGTCACATTTCTATTGTGGGTTGTCAAAAGACATCATCTTATTTGTTATTGTGACTAGAGGGCCATGCATTGACCTGAACTTTCAGATTTCTCACACACAAAAAGTCTGTATTATTCCTATCAAGAGGAATAGAGTTAAATCAAACTGGAGATCTGTTCTTTATCTTGTGATAGATTTCTAGCTCCAGTTAGAAAGTGATACTTGACGCTCTTTCTCCCCATTTCCACACCTTTGTACCCATGAGCAACATTTCTTTGCTTGACAGCAAAATATTAACCCTGGAGACTTTGCAGAATTTTATTTCATCTTTACTTAGTAACTTAATCTCCATAAGACCAATAGCAATATGATTTCACTTGACACCAATGTAACCTCAATCTTGAACAGAAAATGTACATGATTTTGTAATAACTTTATGCCCATTCAACTGTGTGATAAATTTTGACTTTTCCTCAAAGCTCACTAGAGGAAAGAAGTCACAATTTATGGAGAAAAATACAGCAGATAACAGAGGTTGATTTTCCTATCAGAATCGTTTAAATGCCTCTTCTTCTCTCTTGCACAGAGTGAAATAACCTAGGCTGGTTTGAACTGGCAATTGCTTTAGCACCAAGATTACACAAATGACCAGTGTGTTGATTAGTATATCACTCTGTGTTTTTAGTTTGCCTTGGAGCTGGAATGGACATGTGCATTAATTCCTAGAAGCAATGAAATTTGTAACAAGTATCTTCTACTTACAAATACAGTTTATTTTTCAGTTTTTAATTAACCTAATAGAAACATAATTTATTGTGTGAGAGTAATCTGTGGTTTTAGCAAAAACAGCAAGAAGGCAATGTTTTATTGGGTTCAAAATTATTTTTCTCTCAACAGCCAACAACTTCATAATCTTATTCATTGGAATTTAGTTTGGTTTTAATTTTAGTGCTTTTTAAAAATGCACTCTGGTAACAGAGTAAGTCATGGTCCCTTAAAATCATAAATTTCATGAATAACAAAGATTTACCTAGTACAAGAGTTAATAATGACAAAGAACATTTTCGTTTCTGTCCCAATTTTGAATTTGAGATTATTATATTTTATATTGCGTGTTTTGGGACAAACACTTTGCAAAGAAAAAACATAAGGATTACAGTTACATCTTAGTTAATGCTTTGAGTTGTCACCAGTTCTAGCAAAATTATGATTTTTGACATTGGTAACTGATACTAATAAAAGGGGAAAATCTACCAAATAGGATGTACACATTCTGGGAAGTATGGCTCCATTGTATCTTTTGGACTAATTTCTTCCACATTTGGAAAGGAACAAAGTTCCGTAAGAAACTGAATAAGCTTCGAACCTCACTGACAAGTAAGTGGTTTGATGAGGCCCATGTATAATGCTTTCATTTACTACTAAAAATTGATACCTTATAGTCCTACTCTTACATAACAATTTGTTCTTCCACTAAAATTTTGGAAGTCTACACAAATTACAACCTTTAGGAATAGATTATTGGAAATCAGGATTTGGGTTCTGTGTTAAAATGAAATAGATAGGAAGTAACTACTCACATTGCTAATTCTGTTCTATACTCTGATTTCTAAAACTGAACTAAACATAAGGCCTCAGTGAGTCATGAAGTTTCTAAAACTGGTCCCTGCAGCCCTTCTCAGAGGAAGGCCATCTTCCTCTGTACCAAAAGTTACTTCCAACAGAAGGGGTTGAAGATGAACCATTTCCCTTGACAGATAATCTGGACACTGGTGTCTATTCCTAACTAAACATAAGAGAATTTGCTGGTTAACATCTGGCAAAAAGAAGGTGGACTGGGACAAAGCCAAGTTGTTATTCATATTTTTAGGATACCTGTTTCATGAACAAGCATAAACATCTATGTAAGTACACACAGACATGCATAAACACAGACATACACACATACAGAGGTTAGATAGTTAAGGGAAAAATACTTTTCAATATTTATTGGAGAGAAGAGAATTGAAAGGCTTTCCATTGACTGTTAGCTAAGTGTCCAACTGCATCAATTTTTCCCCCAGTAAATTTAATCCCTAAGCTCATACTCTTTAAGAAGCTCCTCCTTGATGTTTAGTACACTCTAATAGCTTTGTCATAAATCAAAGTTCATTGATAATTCACCTCTGGAAAAGTAGTTCTCTTGAGTGCTTAGTTTTAGAGAATTTCCTTTTGGCCTCCTTTACTTAATCACCAACACTCCAGGCTGCTCAAACTTGAAAGCAGACAGACAACCATTTCCTTGTGCCTGCCTTCACTGTAACTATTGCACCATCCCAAATCAGACCTTATAACAAAGTCATTCTATATCACAATAACAGATCCTCCATTTTTTTTTCTCCTTCCTTCTCTTCTTCCTTTCCTTGTCTGGCCTTCATTCCTTCGTTCCTTCCTTCCTTCCTTCTTTCCTTCCTTCCTCTCTCTCAGTCCCCCTCTCCTTTCTTTCTCTCCCTCCTCTCTCTCTCTCTTTCTTTCTATAATATATTGCCACAGAGCAATTCTATTCTTCCAAGGAAGACTTTTTATTTTCAATATGTCAAAGCACACTGGCATGCGTTAGGAGGTAGAAACATAAATACTCCCTAACTGGAAGTATTTCATGGTTTAGTAATATTCCTCAACAATGTTTATTTTGTTTTCCGCCAGTAAAATTGTGTCACTTTAAATCTCTAGAAGAATTGCACCCTGGATTTTGAAAATAAGTTCAAATATTTATTGAGAATAAATTCAAGGAGCAAAGGCCATTTTCTGCCCTTTAACTTTAATACGTAAAATGAAAGTTTTAATGACTCCTGGTCTCATTCTGTGTACTCAAACCCAAATGCTTTCAAGATCTGACTAAGCCACCTCAAAAAGGCGATTACTCATAAACTCTGGGGCATTTCCCAAAACTTCTTCGATGTCAGGGACAGCTGTGAGGGAATGTGGCCAGAACCTGGGACAAGTCAGCTGCAATATTCGGTGAGAGAGAGCGCTCTGGTGGGCCTCAAGAATTCAGCGTCCATCCTCCTATGGAATTCCAAGATTCCCCATTGGTTTCCGTGGTCGAATCTAACATGGGTTTGGCCTCAGCAAAGGACAAGGCGGGGGTGCGAGGAGGTCAGAAGAGAAACATTGACAGATCTAATACTGCTGGGCTGGGATTTGCCCCGGTGTCACAAGGGGGCGAGTCCTGGCTCAAGCACCGAGAAAGTCTGGACGCGACGTCTGCACTTCCTGTTCTCAGAGACTTTGCTGGACCACCCGGTTCCCGGGATCTTGCTATCACCCCCAATCTCTCTCCACAACCCATAAGGGACCAGGGCGATACTTTGCCGGGATGTCGCGGCCGCCTCGCTCGCCAACTCTCTCGCCGTCACCCCGCGGGAGCCGTTAGTCACCTCCCTGTCTCCTAGGCTGTGGAGCAGCCCCCAAGGTCACTCTCTGTCAAGGCCCAGAACCGTCAATCCTTCCCGGCCTTGAAATGTGAGTTCCGCCACATTTCAAAGAAATGCCCAAGAAATTGCCGCAGCGCCCCTGAAGTGTCCTCTGCTCACCCCCGGCCTCGATCCCGCCTTTGCCTCGCTGCGCCTTCCTCGGGCGCGTGAGGATGCGTAAAATGAGGCAGAACTGCAAATTTAAACTGGTTCTCCGCGCCTCTCCCGGAACCGTCGGGGTGGTCGCGGGGCTGGCGCCCTGCTCCGGGAGCAGGATGGAAATCCTTGGGCTGTCCACAGCCTACGCCCGCTGCGTGGATCGACGGTGGATTCTCCACCGACTACAGCCCCCGGCGGGAGCGCGTGGGCCGCGGGAGGCGCCGAGCTGCACCCGCGGGGCCGGCGGGGCTGGCGGCGTCCACCCCGGGCCGGGCGGGGCGGCGGGGACTGCAGCGGCCAGGCGGGGCTCCCTGCGGCCCGCTCCCCCCAATCTCACTCCCAGGATGTGGCCCCGCTGCAGCGGGACTACTGCGCTGGGCTGTGTCTGGCAGCTTCTACTGAGCAGCTAATAGTATAACAACCCGGCTTTGATAAATCTGAACTAATTACCCCTCTTAATTAAAGTCTTTAGCAGTTGTTTCACTGTTTTGGCAAGAAAACAGGAGAGACTTGCAGTTAGAAAACACCAGAGCCAGAGCTCACAGCAGAGCTGCTGATTAACACTTGAAGCACTTCAAGGACCTGGCACCCGCCACAGTTTGGTTTTCATCCATGTTTCCTCCTTGAACGGAAGTATATTCGTCTATAAACATATACACACATATAAAAACACGGGGGCTCTCTTTGCCAGCTGTATACAAGTCAGCATGTGCCTTCAGGATGCGAACAATAGATACCTGTCTACATGGCATGATTGTAATGCATTTGTGGAGGTGTATAATATATTGCACACAACCCCTAGATATGTTGCTACCATGTAATTGTGCATTACAAACATATCAGATGGCCCAAGCCAAATTCATGTTTCTGTTAGAAAATGTCACATCTTCTGTTTCTGAACTTTACCAGATTTCATAACGTTACCCAAAGCTATAACTATTAGAAAAGACTATTTGTATTTGATGAATTTTCAGATCAAAACATTAAGTATTACTGATCCAGGGTTGAATGTTCTTAAAATGAGAACGGATGAAGGGGTCAGAATTAGGAATTCTTAGCTGAATAATATGAGCAAAGCCCTAAAGTTTGTTGATTAAATAAGCATGTTCCAAGTATTTATTTCCAACAGTCAATGAATCAATTTTCACGTGCAAGAATCAAAACCAAAATTCCAAGTCATCCATAATGAACCACCCTTATTTAATGTGTATGTGTGTGTGTGTGTGTGTGTGTGTGTGTGTGTGTGTGCTCAAGAATGTAGAATGTGCCTTTAGAGGCTCACACATCTATGCGTGTATTATGTAACATACACACAGTGTTTTGTTATTTCAGAGAAGGAGAAAATGATAATAAACAATCAGCAGGCATCTTGAGACCGCAGAATCAACACAATGTAAATATATACAATAATAAAATTAAAATGGTGCAGCATTCCTGGATAGAATAATACAGATCTCAATAAATATAGCAGAAATTTGTTTAAAAAAAAACAACAAAACAAAAATCATCTCTCCACCAGAGATGAAAAGTCTTCCCAAATTAAAAAAAGAAAAACAGAAAACAAATAAAACCCTCCAAATTTCTCATAATTGTTAGTGCCTATATAGAGTATAATACACAAAACCATTTAGCAGGTGCATGCAAGAGGCAAAAGGCCAGGGAATGCAGAGGCTTCTGGTCGGCCCTAAAGCGTGGGGCCCAACATGCCCTGCGTTCTGCAGACGAGCTTGGCGTGGGAGCTCTAGTTTGTCGCTGCCTCAGCAGTCGGGGCCTCGGCTGGGGCTGGAAAGAAACTTGGCCTTGATCACTGGTGGCCCTGGTGGAGCCCAGGCTGCAAGGGCCCCGGGGGTGGCAGCGGCGGCTGTAAAGGCGGCAACGTCGCAGGCGGTGGCTGCTGCAGCGGGGGTGGCGGGTCGGTGCCTGGTTCCCCAGCGGGCGTGCGGGCCAGACCCAGGCTGCTGTCGTGCAGCTTGCGGACGTGCTTCTTGAGGTCAAAGTTCCTGCAGAAGCCCTTGCCGCACGTGGGGCAGGTGAAAGGCTTCTTGTCGTTGTGGGTGTGCATGTGGAAGGTGAGGTTGTAAACCTGATGGAAAGCCTTGTTGCAGATATTGCACTTGAACTGCTTCTCCCCGCTGTGGGTCAACTTGTGGTTTTTGTAATTCCCTGAAACAGACAAATGACAGGGACGTGATTCTGAAAAAAGAGCTGAAAAAGGGAGCAGCGGACCTGTCTAACGTAACGAGGCAAGTGGAAGAGCCACCAGAGATCCCACAGCCAGCGCAGGGCTGCTATCAGGACCTGCACTTATCTACCCAAGTTTATTTTTAAATACCACATCATCGGTGAGGCAGATTCCTCTGCATTTGAATACACATTCACTAATCTAATTACATAAAGCGAGAACATGAGGTTAGAAATATGTATATCCTTGGAATATGAACCATGCATTTCTCTAATACTAATCAGACTTTGGGTAGGGAGTTAGAATGGTAACAAATGAACCGCGTAACTAGCTACACTATAAAAATCGTTTTCTAAATTGTTCCAAAAAGATTGACTATGGCTTTCCGTATTGCTACCATGAAAGACATTTCTTGGGTTCCATACCTTTTTGATGAAATCCTTTGCCACAGAATTCACACACAAATGGTTTGTAGCCTGCGTGTATTCGGGTATGAGTGTTTAAAGTGGAACTTCTATTAAATGCTTTGCCACACTGGTTGCATTTGTGAGGTTTTTCCTAAGCAGGAGGGAGGAAAAACAGAGACTTTCAAGTATTTTGTTATTATGTGAAGTCCTGTAAGCTCAAAACACAGCAATGTTCTAACGCTTTTAAGCGGAACAAAGGCAAACAATACATGGCATTTCCCCCTGTTCAGCTAGCACTTTTTAAAGAAATTTTACGCTAAAGAGTAAGGCTTTATTGACCTTTTTTGTTTTTTCAAACAGTTCCGAAGCAAACCAGGTGAAATCAAGAAAGACGAACACACCTGTGTGTGAATGATCTTGTGCCTGCACAGGGTGCTGGCTTGTCGGAAACCCTTTCCACACACTTTGCAAACGAAGGGTCTGGCTCCGGTGTGCACCGGCATGTGACGGGTTAAGTTATAGTGCGCGTTAAAGACCTTAAAATTAAACACACGTAGAACAAGTTAGCCAAAGCACTTCAAACCCGGCAGAGGGAGGGAAGGGGAGGGAAGGGGAAAGATAACCTTATGACAGGTGTATACAAACAATTACCACCAAAATAAATTTTAAAAAAAAAGGAAGGAAGGGAGCAAGGGAGGAAAGAAGGAAGGAAGGGAGTAAGGAAAGGAGGAAGGAAGGGTTTCCGTTCTGCATAGTACTTGCCTTTCCGCACACTTCACAAGTGAAAACTTTGGGCTTGGCATTAGGAGAGCCTCGGCTGAAGTCCGAGGTTTTGAACCCGATTTTTTCCGACAGAAGCTGGGCGCTTTCTTTCATGTAATGCTGCAGCTGAGCCTCGGACAGGTCTTTGAAAGCTACTCCCGAAGGGTACTTCTCCACCGCTGGGACCACCAGTTTATTCCTTTCGGCTAAATACGTTTTTGGCTGCGGGTGCAAAGGGGAACTGAGGAAGTAGGAGGCCACCGGGTGGATGTTCACGCCGGCCCCCGGGTGGCACGGGCCGTCACCTCGGTTCAGGTAGCACAGGGCGCCCATGGCGTGGAAGGAAGAGTGGTTGATCACACGCGGCCTTACCAGCTTGTACTGCTGCAGCGGCAGTGCGTCGCGGGCCAGGTCGCCTTTGAGACTCAGCGCGCAGTTGAGCAGGTCTCCGCAGCTGAACGCTGGCCCGGAGGGCACCGCCGCGGGCGCCGCCGGGGCCTCCAGACTCGCCTTCCGCGGCTCAGAGCCAGTCACTCCTGCCTTGGGGCTGGTGTCGTACGCCACAGGCACGAAGGGGATCATGCAGGGGATCGACGAGTTGAGATGCAGAGAGTGCTTGGGGTCCCCCTTGGGCAAGGCTCCCTGCAGGAAGTGGGGGACAGGCAGGGCCTTGGGCTCAGGGGTGCGGGCCATGATTCGTTCAATGGAAAAAGCCAAGGGTTTGGATGTTCCCATCATGTTGCCCCGGGCTGGAGCCGTCGCTAACATTTTGGTGGTCGCGTTGTGGCAGCTACTGTCCATGTCTGAGTCGCCAGCGTCCGTCAGCCAGAGCAGGGATGCGCCGCCGTTGTCTCGTTCCCTGCTTGTCACAGACCTGCGAAGAGGGGGACCGGCACCATCACCACCAGCAGCCTCCTCCTCCTCCTCCCCAGCATCACCAGCCGAACCTGCCTGCCCAGCCCAATGGACTCCTGCCAGCCCATCGCAGAGTTCTTGGCGCACCAATGACTCGGGGACAATCACTACTTATTTCTATCAATAGAAAGTGTTGTGTCAATAACGCAGCCAAGATCTCGCCAATCGTTAACTTCCAAGAGGAGAAGGTAAACTAGATAATTGCTCAATTCGCTTCCAACAGTCAACAGAAAAACTTTTTTTTTCTTTGCAGTCAGTGACTACTTTTCATTGGTGAGTGAGGTTCCCCCGCCCAGAAGAGGCGGGGGCGCTCTCAGCAGCGCGGCGCGCCCTCCCCTCCGCGCACACACTCTCCCGCGCACACTTCGCTACCCTCCAGCCCCCTCCCCCCTTTGCTTCCTCTGTCTTTCTAATTCTCAATCTGCTTAACCAGGCTTTAGAGGCCAAGCAAATCTGAGATCAATTTTCTCGTTTAGCTCTAAGTGACATCATCTAAAATCATTGTGCAAGGGCTAAATAAGGAAACGGAGTCTAATTCAGGGGCAAACGCCAGGCTATATTTATTAAACGCCAAGCTCCAGAAAGCCTTGGCCAGGAAGCCTCCAGCAGCGAAATCCAAGCTTTCCCTGCTTGGTTCCGCTGGGCCGGAGCTGGGCTCAGGTCCGTGCTGTGCTACCTTCTCCGCGGCCCTCTTTCTTCCTCCAGGGCTGGGAGCTGCGCGCTCCCGGAATCCCGGAGTCTCCGCGGCCCGAACCGAGTCTGGACCATTTGGAAGACGCCAGCAGGTAACTGGCCTCCCAAAACGCCCCTGAGAATTAAAGGCCTTGGGAGGCTTGTTAAGTGTTTGTGGTTTTGTGAAGGCGATGCCCGTGGCAATAGGCATGCGAAAGACTCATTCCCATCCACAAAGTTGAGGAGTTGCAAGGAATAAGCGGGTATCTCACCACAAGAAACCTTGACTCAGGTCGGACCCCACCCAGGATACATACAAATACACGCGCACACTTGCTTCTGTGAGTTTCCATTGAGAGCCCGGAAAGAGCATTTCTTTCTTAAGTACCTGCGCTCAGCTAGAGCTGTCTCTGAGCATTTTAAACACTGAATGCCGAGAGGAGAAGGGAAACAGAACTTATTGATTCCCACCCTGGCTGCCCGAGTCCGCATGCCTCCCGAAGCAGTGCAGGCAGCAGCCGGGGTGTCTGTGCGCTGCGGAGAGGCTAGCAAAGCGACACACCGGCTCCAGACTTGTGGCTGCAACTACGCTTGGGCCTAGCAAAGAGCCCGTAGAGACCATTCCCCTACAAAGCCCCACAGCCAGGCGCCCTCCGGGTGTGGCTTCTCGGTCTAAACTCCCAGGGCTGAGCGGTCGAGCGCTAGTGGCTGCGGCTCTGACTGTGCGGGTTCCCGCCGCTCAGGCAGGCGCGGTCCAGAGCGCGCGGGTAGCAGTGGCGCGCGCCTTCCTCGGCTCAGTCCTTTGCAATCTTGAGATCGCCCGGACCTGACACCCCGGGCTAGGCGCGCACTAGAGGCTGCATGAAGTTGGAAAACGCAGCGGCTGCGAGCAGACGCTGGGAGGCTAAGAGAGCGCGCACAGCTGCGTGCACAGGGCGGTGGGGCCTGGACGTCCGGGTGAGTGGCCGCCCGCAGCAGCCCAAGGTATCATCTGCCTGGTGAGTTACCCTTGAGTGGGTGAGTGTGGAACTGGTGGTGGCGAATGTCAGGTATCGGGCCAAGAGTGGTGTGGGTGTCCTTCTGCAGGAGCCCCGGAAAGGTCGGCAGTGGAAGGCTGGATGAAGGCGGACTGGAAACCCTGGCATTGTTGAGTCCCTGCCCAATTGCGCCCAAAGATGCGGAGTTGGACCGCAAATGGAGGACCTCAAAGTCTTCACCCCTGTCTGTCCCATTCCCAGCACAGGCCAGGCCAGCGACCCAGGCCCCTCAGCCCCACTCCCACTCTGGCTTTCCTCGAGAGTCAGGTCCGCCCCTGCCACGCAAGCCGAGAGGGTTGGAAACGGAGACAGCTTGGGCTGGGAACGCACCAGATGCCTAACGGCAAGGCAGGGTGGCTGGGTGAGCGGTGGAGAAACTCACTTGCTGAAGAAATGGGGGAGGAGGAGCGAGTCCTATCGGAAGCTGAAGGCGGCCAAGGGGCCAGATGGGGGAGAGGTCTGGCAGAATACGACCCGCCTTAGCAGCTAGGCCGGGGAGTGCCCCTTTTCAGGTCTCGGGGTGGCTTCGGGCTGGGAGGACAAATGCAGCAATGGAGAAGCGCGGGAGGCGAGTGCACAGCACCTGGGCGGAGCTGGGCAAGAGGCGCTACACCCCCGGACGGCGCTTCGGAGCCGCGCTTGGCCCGGGAGCAGCCACTACGGATTCGCGCAAGCTGGAAATTTTCTTTTCTTTTGCTGTTGGGGCCGTGGAATCTGTCTCCTCCTTTTCTCTGCTCGGACAAAGGGCGCGGGACCAGTTTTGCTGGGGAAAGGGAGGTCCCTGTCCCACGACAGATGGGTCGCGGTTAAGACTTTAATTACTGTCTTTTGGGGCGGATCAGGTTCCCTTTCCTACCTGCCTCTTCCCAATAGCGAAAAGTCCCCCTCCTGCTGCACTCCTCCGTCACGGGGCAAGGTTGAAAGGAAAGAGAAAAGAAGCACGAAACAGCCGGCTCTGGAAAGCTTTGGAACGCCCAGCTGACTTGTACAACTCACCGGCTTCTGGAGCGTTACCTGCCTTCTTGACTGAATAGCACCAGTTTGTTTTACGTTTGTCGCGTGTCCCTCCCTCTCCCCTTCTTCCCCTCCCCCTCCCTTCTCCTTAACGACAAAAGAGCCTTTATTTGACCTCGGTAAATTTCTCCCTTGGTGTACGCTAAACTAAAAAGGAAAAATATTGGCTAAGGGATGTATATGTTTTATATAGTTAATATTTCAACAGTTTGCTTCTCACAGGTCTTTTCAAGATTTGTCTTTTTGGCAAGTGTTTGAAAGTGTCATTTGAGTTAACACAAATATGGCAAAATGTCAATTATGCCCTTCCTTTGAGATAGCCCTGAGCTTGCTAATCCTAAAGACTGAAGGGGTGCTTTAGAAATCCAGGTCTTGATATTCCAATGTTTACTAATTTTCTCATTTAAAACCTAACTAAAAATGTGTTAATTTTTTAATAATATCTCCATTAAGAATTTGTCTTAAAACGCAAAATGTATTTAGAAAAGGCTTCCATTTTATTGTCAAATCGGTCCAGTACTTTGTTTTATTTCCAATCATATTTAAAAATAACAAATCAATAAAAGAGTATATTCGGCAAATTAAGACGCTTCTAAAACGGTTTAAGACTGAAAATTTTTAATTTACTAAAAAGAAAGCAAAGTAGCCCTGTTTGTTTTGTTAATGGCAAAAGAGAAACTCTGTGATAGTTTCTTTGGATTTTCTAGGAGAATCCTATAATCCACCCTTTTTTGTTGAGAGCTGATGATTTAAGTGGTCCTCCCCTTCCTAACCAAGGAAAGGCAGTATTTATAACCTTAGATCCTGGTGGAAGGCACGTTTTAAGTGCATGGTTTGTCCTGTATGAAATATCCTAAGGGAACCAAAGCAATTCTTGATATAAAAAGGACAGATAACAAACTCTGGGTTAAGACCTTCTGAAAATAAAAAAAAAGAAAAAGAAAAAAGTTTTACTTCTCTAAAATAATTTAAAATTCTCTCTTGCTGAGGAATCTAATTTTTATTTCAATGCTTCCTAAATTATACTCTTGATATAACTCGAGACCTTGCATAATTTTTACAGGCTTTTTATTCAAGTCCCTGTCACAACCAAATGCAGTTTCTGATTAAGATTAATTTACTGCAAAGTGACATAAAAGCTAATATAATAAAGCCATAAATTACCAAATAATGTGTAATCTTTACTCTCTTCTTCCTTGATAAATCACAAAATGCTGTTGATTTTTTAAAAAAAAAAATAAGAAAAAATTGTTGGGAAATATTATAACTCCTCCAACCTTCTGCCTAGCGCATTGATTTGTCACTGGTCATATTTTTAGGGTTTTCGGGCCTGTCCAACATCTCTGATCCCCACCCTCCTTTACCAAGAACAACAAACTGCTTTCTCTTAGCTTTAGCTGCAGTGAGCTAAAGGAGGGTTAGACAAAAGACATTATTATTATTCTGACACTTCCAGGCATTTAGGCAAATCCATTTTTTTCTGGTTTAATAAATAGCACCAAAGGCAACATGCTTCTAGAGGAGAAAATGTGTTTTTAAATTCCTCTACAGTTTTGCTCATAGTCTTTATCTCTGATGGGTCTTTTGTTATTTCTTTTGGTGTGTTATGGAGACAGGGTGATGGAATAGGACACAAATAGCAAGGATCTGTAAGGTTCAAGGAAAGAGTTTTCCAGTGTCTCAGATTAGTTAATGACTACATAGTGAAAACTAACTTTTCAGCACATTAACAACCATATGGGCAACGCATTCAAATTTAAGGCAACTAGTGTGCTTTTAGATAGTTTGGTAGCAAATGAAGAATTCTTGCGAATTTTGTGTAGCCTGTGGAGGACAGTATCACAGGTTAGAAGTATGGAAGGGTCAGTTAACTCATAGAGACCTCTCTTTCTGTGGGGCAGAGGGATGGAGAAGGGAGAGGTCGGTTTGTTATTTGTCTCTGGACCTTTGTTGTTACTATGTCTTTTATGTTAGGATTTCGTTTAAAGCCAGTGAAATTATTCTTCTAAAACAGCATTTACATAGTAAATCAGTTTGTAAAGGAAATAAGGAGCCCAAACGTGAGAGCTGTTAAAGAGGGGCAGGCATTACACACAGGCAGCGATCACTTGGGCTTCGTTTGTTCCTGTCCCTCCACTAATGCTGAGATTTTTCTCACCCATTCCCACAGGCCTGTGAGGTGTGTCCCTCCAGACTGCGAGGCTACGACTCAGGGGCGGACTTGATGGAAAAAGAAGTTTATAAACAAGCAACCTAATTTCCCCAACCTCTTCATGAAGCAAAAATGTCAGACAACAAAAACCAGCAAAGTTTTGCTTGTAATTTACAGCGGCGTTATTGAAACCTGGGAGGCGAATAATTAGAAGAGTCCAAACATGTTCTTTTGCTCTGCGTTGATATATTTACCTACAATGATAGAACACACTGGTTAGTGCAACAGGCTGAGGCGCTTTGCAGCAGTCCCCGGACAAGTT